TCTTGATTACTGTCATCAATTTGGCAATTGGTAAGAGATCATTTTATCTTTTTACCAGCAGGATGTAAGAATTTCTATTAACCTGCAGCCAGATACCGTAGTGTTTCCTGTTCTGTCTAGACTGGGCCAGTATGAGATTTTAAAATGATTTTGTTTTATTTTAATTTCTTTTTTAAATTACTAATGGTATTGATAGTTTTATTGGCTGTTTAAATTGCTTGTGCCCATATGTATACTTTTTCTCATTTCAGAACCATTTGGTCTCATGGCCACTTTGACCTTTATACCTTAGGTGTAACTAACATGACAAAGTAATTCTTCCTTATCTTTTACTTGATACATGAAAAATATGTATCTATGAAATAGAGTATATATGTGTATATATATTTCCTTTTGTTGAAAAGAGAATAAGATGATGTATTATAGATAATAGGTAATTGAGTTGACTATGTGTTTTAGTTGTTGAAGCTGGTAAGGTACTTGAGGATTCATTATACTGTTGTTTTTCAAGTTTTCCATAATAGTGTTTAGTATTTATTATAGTTATAGGATAGTTGGCAAGAGCCATTAATTCATAATTTTGGTTTCTATTTTTAATCCCAACAAAAAAAGTTAATACTGGATGTTTTCTATTTTAACTTTTAAACTTTAACTTCTGTTTTTTAATTTTAGTTTTGATGTGATTATTCGGTATATTTATGGGATACAATGCTGAAACATGTATGCATGCATGTGTTGTGAAATGAAAAATGTAATTAACATGTTTATCACCTCAAATATTTGTCTTTTTGTTTGAGAACACTTAAATTTTGAGTCTGTTTTGAAACCTATAATACATTATTAATTAACTGTAGTCACTATAGTACATTATTAATTAACTCCAGAACAGTAATCTATTGTATATGTATGCTACAGTTTCAGTTCATTCATCTTTTGATAGATCCTTGGGTTTTTTTCCCTCTGTCTTTGCTATTGTGAATAATCATTCAATGAGATCTTTTCATATATTGGTTTTAATTCCAGAAGAGTCCCCTAATCCCACCAACCCCCTAGTGGAATTGCTGGATGATATGACAACTCTATTTAAATCTTTCAGAAGAACTTTCATGCTGTTTTCTTAAATGGCTTTATCTGTCTGCCTATCTAGTTTTCTAGTTTTTGTCTTTTTGAGACAGGATCTCCCTGCAGCCCCAACTGTCTTGGAACTCACTATGTAGACCAGGCTGGCCTTGAACTCACAGAGATCTGCCTGCCTCTGCCTCCCGAGTGCTGAGTTAACTATTTAGATATTTTTTCTTAATGATTTATGATGTTTATTTTTATATATGTGTATAATATGTTTGAGTATGTGTGTGTGTGTGTGTGCCTGTGTATATGTGAATTCCCATGCACATGTACATGCCAGAGGTAGACATTATCTTTTTCTATCCTTTCCCACCTTGTTATTTTTATTCTTTGAAAATTTCATACACATATATAATGTATCTTGATCATATTCACCACCTACTCCATACCTCTAACTCCTGCCACTCTCCAAAACATGCCTTCCTCCCAATTTTATGTCCTCTTTTGTTTTAAGCCTACTGAGTTCATTAATGCTGCTTGTATGCACATGGTTATGGGAGTATCCATTGGAGTATGAGCAATCTACCAGTAGCCACATCCCAAGGAAAAGTGACCCTCCCCAGCAGTAGGAGGAAGAATTGCAGGACCTTGAGAGGCACCCTGCCCTCATCTTCATGGTAGAAGTTTTAACTAACTTGATCTTGTGCCAGTAACCAGAGCTGCTTTGAGTTCAGGTGTACAATAGCCCAGAAGACAGCATCTCATAGCACTCGTCCCTATCCTCTAGCTCCTATGTTATTTCTGCCCTCTTTTCCCTGAGCCTTGATGGGGGGATAGTTACTATAGATGTCCCCTCTATATCTTAGCATTCACAGTCACTTATTCTCTGCATTAACCACTACCAACTACAACAAGAAGCTTTTCTGATCTAGATTGAGAGCAGCACAAATCTCTGGATATAAACATAAAGATTTAAAAGGTAGTTTGACAACATGACCATTTAGCAAAGCATCAGTAGTTCTCCCCATGGACCCATGACTTCTCTAGCCATGAGTTTTGACTATGTTTACAGTACTAGGCATGACATCCCTTCTGTAGAGCAGGCTTCAAGTCCAATTAAGAAAGTCGTTACTTACCTCTATATTGAGCTATTGGGTACTAAGCCAATGGGTACATCTTGCCTGATAGGTTGGTATTGTAGCATGGCAGAATCCAGCACTGGGTAAGACCATGTATGTCTTTTCTCCCTAGCAGCCTGCATAGCACCTTCCATAACCATGAAAGCTAACCAAGAGGGAGTTTACTGGTCAGTTCAGAATTGATTTCTGCAAGCAGTTTCTGTGGTGTTATTGGCAGTGGGGTTTTGGCATCTAGTTATGGTCCCTATCTTATTTTTTGAGACAGAATCTGTCATTGAACCTAGAGATAATTGATTGGCAGTTATACTGGCTGGCCAGTAAACTCCAAGGATCCTCATGTCTCTGTTTCCCTAACACTAAGGTCACAGATATGTGCCCTCATGTCTGTCTTTTAAGTGAATGCTGGGGATACAAACTCCAGACCTCATGCTTGCTCAGCAGATACTTTACTGATTGAGCCATCTCTGCTGCCCACAAAATGACTGTATTTATTTATAACATCACCAACAGTGTGTAAAGTTTTTCCCTCTATACTGTCTGTGCTGGTCAGTTTTTAAAAAATTTTTACTTTTTATTTTATGTGTATGAGTGTATTGCCTGCATGTGTATGAGTGTACATGTGTTGTCAATGCCCTAGAGGTCAGAAGAGGGCGTCAGATTCCCTGGAATTGGAGTTATGAATGGTTTTTAGCTGCCATGTGAGTGCTGAGAACCAAAACCAATGCTCTTACCTGCTGAGCCATCCCTCTAGCCCCTGTGCTGGTCAGTTTTAAATATCAACTTGCCACTTAGAATCACCTTGGAAGAGACTTTCAATGAGGAATTATTTAGATCATATTGCCCTTAGGCCAATCTGTGGGGGATTGACTTAACTGAGTTAATTGAGGTGAGAAGACTCACTCTGAACATGGCCAGCACCATTTCTTGGGCTGGCCCCTCCCCTGAACTGTGTGAGTGAAGAAAGCCAGCTGAGTATAACCAGCAAGCAGGGATGTGTATATTCTCCCTTTGCTCTTGACTGTGGATGTGATGTGATTAGCTGCTTGAGTTCTGGCCTTGACTTCCCCCTAGAATTACAAGCCAAATAAACCCTTTCTCCTCTAAGTTGCCTTTTTTTTCTGAATATTTTATCATATTAACATAAATGGAACTAGAAGACCCTCACCAATAGTTGTTCTCTTTCATCTGCTTGGTAATAGCCACTTTAACAGGTGTAGCATGATAATTTATCTTGGTTTTGATTTGCATTTCTCAGGTTAGAGATCATCAGATCTTTTTTCCTGTATATTTGTTGAGCACTGGTATGTCTTTTTTAGAGAAGTACCTAGTCAAGTACTCTGCCCATATTAAAAAGAGGTGGTCTAGTTTGATTCCTGTTGCTGTGATAAAACAGGTCTGTTTCAGCTTAGTGGCTGTCGCTCATATTGAAGGAAGTCAGGGCGGGAACTCAGGCAGGAACCTGAATCAAGGTCTCCCCACAGCCCCAGCTGGCCTGGAACTCACTATGTAGACCAGACTAGCCTTAAACTCACAGAGACCTGCCTGCCTCTTCTTCCCAAGTACTGGGATTAAATGTGTGCGCCACCATGCCGGGCTTTAGCTAACTTTCTTATACAGCCCAGAAACGTGTTCAGGGAATGGTGCCATTCACAGTAGGCTGGGCCCTGCTATATCAATGAACAATCAAGACAGTCTCCCAAAGACATGTCTGCAGGCCAGTTTGATCTGGGAAGTCCCTCAATTGTGGTTCCCTTTCCAGATGACTAGGCTGTGTCAAGGTGACAGCTAAAGGTAACTAGGAGAGGTCTTGTTTCTGATAGTTGGGGACAGGGTCAGGAAAATAAAAGCCTGCACAGATTTGCAAAAGTAACAAGGAGACTTTGCTTAAAGCAATAGAAAAGATCAGAATATGCTACAAGAGAGCAGTGGGTCACATAAGGAAAGATACTCAAGGGCCTGTTTATTGTTTGGGGCTTTCCCCTCTGGTGTTCAAGGGTAGTAGTTTGGTTGCTAAGGGGCATAGTAGGGATAGTTCTTTGTTTTGATTAATAGGTTTGGGTTATGTAAACCTTTGCTCACTGCACATATCCCTTCCCTTAGTACATCTGATTATAATTATATGCATACCCAATTACACATATTAATAAGGTGGCAAATGTGGTGGGGGGGCACAGTTTCCTAGAAGTTCACCTGGAAACACAGATTTGCCTTATTGTGCATGCACTAAAACCAGTGTAGGCTGGATTGGCCCATTGCTTGTGATTCCTTGATTTTGTCCCATTATATGCTTGAATGGAAGCTAACCCTCATTAGGGGTTACAAGGGGAGTAACTTATTTCCATTGTTTAAAGCAAGTATGATATGCAGCCTGATGCAAATGGGGGGTCCTAGGGTTGCCAAACAGGTTGCTAAGAGCAGAGAGAGGCATGTACATACCTCAAGCCAAGTAACGTCTCAAGTTGCTAAGCTATTTCCTGTGCTTGCCTGCATCATGGTTATTTTAATTTTTAAACTAATGATTTTTTTGTTTTGTTTTGTTTTTTTTTTTGGTCTTTTTGAGACAAGGTCTCTCTATAGCCCCAGCTGGCCTAGAACTTGTTTTGTAGACCAGGCTGCTCACAGAGATCAACTTGCCTCTGCCTCCTGAGTGCTGGGATTAAAGGCATGCGCCACCACGCCTGGCAAACTAATGACTTTTAACTTTAATTTATACCACTGTGAACACTTCTTAATGTTCATTGACTTAAATAGCTTTGTTTATTTTCTACTAATATTTAAAATTTTTTATTTTTAAAGAATCCCATAGGAAGGATAAATCTGGCCAACTGTACCAGTCGTCAGATAGAACCAGCCAACAGAGAATTTTGTGCAAGACGCAACACTCTTGAATTAATTACTGTCCGACCACAAAGAGAAGATGACCGAGAGACTCTTGTCAGCCAATGCAGGGATACACTTTGTGTCACCAAGTATGTACTGGCCTCTTATTTCTGTCAACTAAGTAATTGCCCTGTTATGATTATGAGAAATATCAGTGATGAGTTGTGACTTGAAAAGGTTGAAATCCTGGAGAGAAAACACATAATCTGTGGTAACTCAATGAGTTAAGAAAAGTGTACTATTTAGCTTGTGTCTTGGCTAGTTATGGCTGTTCTCCAGGCAGTTAGCAAATAATCTTTAGGTGGAGTTTAAAGATTTCATGTGAAGTTGAGAAGTCAGGCATTAGTTAAGAGACTTTACATATTTCTTCCCATTAAAAATATCTTCATGGGGTTGGAGAGATGGATCAGCAGTTAAGAGCACTGGCTCCTCTTACAGGGGACCAAGGTTTGAGTCCCAGCACCTACATACCTTTATTTTAGATCACTAACAAAATCCATCTCATTTTATTCTGTGGATTTCTGGTTGGAGATTAATAAAGTAAGCTCTTGGGAATATCATCTTAAGTATAAGTTGTACATGTTGATTACTAAATAGCTCACATGTGTTCTTTTGCTTGTCCCAGAAAAGCTTAAAGACCACCTTCAATGTACAGGCTGTTATTAGGGATGAACATTAGAATTTGGCACGATCTTTATTCATCAGGCTGTTGCTGGATAAAGATGTGGAGATAGGTAGAACTAACTTAGTTTCTAGTGTGACAATATTGGAAAACTGTAGTTGAGAGGCATTGTGACAACATAGAAAGCACAAAATTTCCCAGAGACTGCCAGTTTGTTTTAAAATAGCTTGATAGAAGCTGAGTATGGTGTTACCTACTTGCAGTCTCGGGACTTGGGAGGTTAAGAATCACAAGTTTGAGAGCAGCTTGGGCTACACAGTGAGTTCTAAACCAGCCTGAGATATATAACAAGATTCTGTTTCTAAAACCATCATCACCAGCTCAGTGGTAGAGCACTTGGCTGAGTGTACAAGGCCCCAGGGGGTGAGGGTAGTTAGATAAAAGGCTCTTTAGTTTTAAATTTATTTTTATTTTATGTGTGTGTGTGCATTCATTGCCTGCATGTATGTGAGTGCACATGTGTCATGCAATGCCCGTGGAGGTCAGAAGAGGGCATTGAAATTCCCTGGAACTGGCGTTATGGATGGTTGTTAGCTACCATGTGGGTGCTGGGGATTGAACCCAGGTCCTCTGAAAGAGCAGCCAGTGCTCTTAACCACTGAGCCATCTCTCCAGTCCCCTTATTTTTTTTTACAAGTTTTAATTAAATTGACATATATTTCATATACAGAAAAATACCCAGTTTTTTTGTATCTTGTTTGTTTTTGAGACAAGGTCTCACTGTCACTCTTGTTGATTTGGAGCTCCCTATGTAGATCAGGCTAGCTTCAAACTCAGAGATCCATCTGCCTCTGCCCTTGAATGCGGGGACTACAGGCATGTGCCACCACGAGTAGCTCTTACATTTCCCCACTTAATCTGTTTCTCTACATGGCTTTTTCTGCCTAAACCTTTTATCTCAATTTAATCTGATTCATTTCCCTTTCTACTAACTGAAATTACTCTTTTCTTCAATGCAAGTGAATTTTCTTCTGATCAGTACTGCTTATTTCAAAATAGATAATACCTATTTGAACTAGAGATTCTTTATCACATGAGTATTTTGCAGTGGGGCTTTGAAGTCTACAGATCCAAGGGTTGGTTGGTTGATTAGGATGAACCATAGGGTACCCACATTCTTTTTTTTTTTTTTAGGCTGAATTTTTTTAATCGTTATTTTTTTTTAATTTTTAATAACTACATGATTAGAAGAAGCATTTCACTACACCTATAACATATTCAGTAACACACTCCACAGCAAGAGTACATCTCTTTCACAAGTGGGTGCAAGTTTCTAGGTTCACAGTTGAATTAATACAGCTACATATTATTGAATTCAGTATAAGCCCTGTAAGACATAAAATTGGGTGAGTTTTTAACCATTAAAAAAGATCTCCATTTCATTTTAGAATATATTGTTCCTTGCAGAAAGACTCATTGTTTTTGCTACTAACACTGAGATGTTGGTGCTTGCATCTCTAATCTGTATGTATCTGATGATTAGTAGTCATAATCAGGTGGACTTGGATTGTTGGCGCCTGTGTATGTCTATAAAGTCACCGGGTAGATTTCAGTAGTATTGTTTATTACCTCTACTAATTAACATGATGTAAATTTCCATGCTTCCTCCTCAAATATAACTCATTTTTAATTTGTTGATTTGTGTGTGTGTATATATCACACAGAACATCCCAAACCATCTTATTCAACTATATACCCACTTCCCAGATGGCACCTATACACTACCTTCCCAGATGGCATCCTCCCATAGCCTCCCTCCCCCCACTAGAGCCCTTATACTCTGATATCCCTGCTACTGTCTGCTGTGTTGTTGGCACCCCCAGCCATTCCCCACTACTTGCCCTTCTGGTGGATCTAGTCAGCCTATCTAGAGATCTTTGTTTTAGGAGAGTCAGCTGTTCCTCATGTAGCAGCAATCAGTTATCAGTTCCTTTAGGTAAGATTGGGATCTTCTGTTTATTTTCCCAGTTCTATGCTGGGTTACTGTCTGGGAGTCCCTGGGGCCACCCTAGCCAACAACTCAAAACAAGGTATCTCCTATCTGGCATTGTTGCTTGTGTAGCCTTTAGATATGCATATGGACTCTTAAGAAGTTATATTGGCCCCTTTAGTCTTTGGTTACACTTTCCTTTTGGGTGTTTAAGGCCATACAGTTAGCACAGATAAACCAATGTATTTTTACTCTTAAGCTCATTTGAGGATCTGTTTCTCAGAGGTCACATGGGCTTGGGAGGTGCCCCTGGCTCTTTTCTTTTACCAGTTCTGTGGGTTTTTTGTTTGCTTCCTTGGTTGCCTCTTTTGATGTACAGAAGCTTTTTAGTTTAATGAAGTCCCATTTGTTAATTCTTGCCCTTGTTTCCTGGGCAATTGATGTCCAGTTTAGAAAATCCTTTCCTATACTTATAGCTTGTAAGTTAGTCCCAATGTTTTCTTCTAACAGTTTCAG